TTCTTTGCATATATGAAAATGTTGTTGAATTTCGATCAAGACCGAGACCGAGACCGAAAAGACCTTGACCGAATTTGTCGGTCCTAACATTTTTTGTGCTGAAATTCGGTCTTTACTTTTCAAAGACCGAAAAGACTGAAAGACCGAAGACCGAGACCGAAATTTTCATTTAGACCGAATGACCACCCCTACCGACTAGGGGTAGACCCTGTTAGAATCAAGGGTTAATTGGATCTATGCCATTACAAATATGTTGATTTAAAAAAAATACCATTACTATTCAAGAAATCTGTTGTGTGCCAATAAATTGTTCTAAAATTTGAAGTTAATTCTGTAAACCAGAGACTTAATATTGGGATCGAAAAAGTGAAAGAATCTTATAGACAACCTATCATTCTTGTAGAATATATAGCTTTCCAATTAAAAAAATAGAGTTTCATTCCGAAAGGCAATGAAAAAAGGCATTGAATTAACTAAAAAAATGGATATAAAGGGAGTAAAAGTAAAAATTGCAGGCCGTCTCGCGGGAAAAGAAATTGCGCGTGCCGAATGCATCAAAAAAGGTAGACTTCCCCTCCAAACAATTCGTGCTAAAATTGATTATTGCTGCTATTCAATTCGAACTATCTATGGAGTATTAGGAGTTAAAATTTGGATATTCGTAGACGAAGAATAACCAACCCTGTCTTCCCATTATGTTCAGTAATAGAATAAAAAATGACAAGAGCCTCATTTTCCCTAAAATCCCTAAAAAAAGAAGAAATTATATCTCTTTCTATAAGATTTAATGAAAATTAAGAAATCTTTTAATAAAATTGCTATGCGTGTGGGGGGAGAAAGCACATGGGCCGACAAGCTAAGGGGAAAGCGTTCATGCCCTATGTGTCATGCTTAAGGAACCCTTGACTTGAAGGGTTTGTTTAGATATGGGATAAGAAGAGTAAGATCGGGATAGGAAAATGGGTAAAGGTTTACAATGAAATGAGGATGGATAATGGATGGCTAGGAAAATCATTTGTCTAACCCATTTGCCAAAAAGGCCCAAAGTAGACAGAATGGTCAAGGCTGAAATGGCTGCCCCACTGTGAGACCCTCACAGTTTTCAAGGCCCATTGAAAAACAATAAATCACTATCTTTATTGCTTATTTATCTTTTATTTCACAATAAACAATAACAATCAGGTAGAATGTTGCCATTTGTGCAGCCAAAACTCATCCAAATATATATATCCATGGTAAACCCACGAACAAAAGCTAATAGTTCTTCCCATTGTTAGACTATAGAGAATGTAATTTAGTTGGTGGCTTAATCATTTTCCATGCAGTTTAGTGAGCAGTAGTGAGATTGAACACCTGCCAAACAAAGAAAAACCAAAGTGCAATTAGAACATGGAAGGGAATTCAAATATATCCAACATATTCACTCCACAGAGAGCCTGCATACCTACTAAAGATTAAACAATATAAGAAACATTCATACCTTGTGCGGTTTTTGCAATTTCTGAATATTACTATTCTGTCCTAAAATACAACAACTTTTAGCTATGAATCCATATTCATAGCTAGAAATATGGTACAGAGGGAGTATTACAAACGGATTACTATCCTAGCTACCATTAAAGAAAAACAAATTCCAAGTACTAGCGTTGCGTGTAAACTTGTTTGAGTGAAATACCTGTAAAATTCTGCTACAAGCTGAAATCCATTTACACAGAATCATGACATGAATGAAAGAAGGGGAGAACACATAAGCTCACTGACTAGGAAAGAGAGAGTTCACTGGGTACGCCCCATTTATCTGCATTGTTTAAATTAAAAAGAAAAGGTAAAATGTTAGCATTACACGCCTAAAGATAAAACATGAAGAAAATCTACTTCCTTTGTTTCGTTGTTGTGTTTCACAGTATAAGACATTTTAGGTTTTGAATAGATTCATATTTCATATATCTATCTAATTTATATTGGATGTTAATAAATCTAAACGAGATGAGAGCCCAACGCGTTTTATAATGCGAAATAGAGTAATAAACAGAGCCACGCGTAGTTCCAACAAATGATCCTCAAATTAAGGTAAATAAGTCTTCAAATGAACTAATTGTCATCATGTTCTAAACAGTACTAGTAAAATAACCTTTACTGGTAAATTCAGTTGCACATGAAGGGCAGTAACTAAATACTCCATTCGTCCCATTTTAAACACAACCATATGAAGGGCAGTAACTAAATACTCCATTCGTCCCATTTTAAACACAACCATGAGTTTCTATGTTCAACTTTGATTGTTCGTCATATTTATTTTTTTTTGAAAACATTAAAAAACATAAGTCACGCATAAAATACTATTCATATTTTCTCTTCTAATAACAATAAAAATACTAATCATAAAAAAAATTAAATAAAACGAATGATCAAAGTTAGACACATAAACTCATGGCTATGCTTAAAACGGACGTAGGTAGTAAGTATAATTTCATGTTGCCAGTACATGGTAACCATATGGTAATTCAAACTTGCTTTGCTATCTTATGAATGAATTAATAAAAGATCAAATTAATTTAAACCCATGCTGTCTTATGAATGATATAGTCGAAAAACATTATGAGGCTGCAAAAAATTGTAAATGCTTTTATAGTTTTATGATTCTCGACGGGGTTGTTTAGATCTCACGTGCTGTTAATTATAGTTCACTTAATCTTGTTTTAGATAAATTATTATTTGATTATTGTACCAATCTTCTGGATAGGAAAGCAAATTTGCTCTAAACTGGAAATCGCGTTTTTATCACAAAGACACCAGAGTTTCTACAAAAGCTGGTTTCATTATGCTATGCGCGCACTTAAACCACCCAGCCAAAAAGTGAGATCTAAAATAACACGATACTCCTTCCGTACAACTTTTAACGCTTAATTACAATAATATCAATATTACGTATGTTATATTAGTAGATTCGTATTTTAAAATATTTTTATGTGATATTATTTTTACAGTTATTAATAATATAATATGAAATAAATTAATAATCAAAATATGTCATTGAATACCGTGTATTAAAAAATACAGGCTTTATAATTTAGGACAGAGAGAGTAATAAGCTAGAACTGGTTTTGTTTTTTGGAAAAATTGAATTAAACTTATTTTACTAAAACCTGCTTTTATTTCACTCATTCAAACCATCACGAGTTAAATCTATTTCAGGCTTGACCCGTGCGCTTATCGTGTTTCACAAAACATATCGAATCCGTGGCAACCTGTTCTTGTTCAAAATCCCTATAGAATTCTTCCACAAATTCTTTGTTCAAAATAGGCATGTTTGAAAGAAACTAGCTGTTTGTGTCCTTTTGACGTTACTAACCATGACAGTTGATGTTAAGCCCTCTCCAGTTAGTTATGTTTTGTCAATCAAATCCGGTAATCACCCAAATTAGCTCACCAAGTGTTTGTTTAAATTATACAGGAACATATCCTTTACACACAAACTTCCCATGCACACTCCGTACACACCAACTAGCAAATGTCACGAAAAATTCTACAAAAAATTGTATACATATTTCGAATAGTATTACAATTACATGTGAAATTTTATCTTCAAATTCATTATATTTTAGCCATAATAAAAAAGACAAAATTCTGACAGACTTTTACCCTTAAAACTGTCAGATTTTTTACTTTTTTGTTACGGCTAAAATATAATGAATTTAAATATAAGACTTTTAGATATGTGTAATACTAATAGGAGTAAATGTTCAATTTTGTGTAGAATTTTTTATGGCATTTGCTAGTTAGGGTCTGTTTGTTATAGTTTCAACTCCTAAATTTAGCTTCAGAAGTTGGGTCTGGAGTGGAGTTGTGGAGCTACCTATATCCAGCTCCATAACTCTAGTTCATTTTGTGAGAGAGCTCCACCCAGCTCTACTATCAGTTTTGGTGGAGCTGAAACTGTTTGGCTAAACTCCAGCTCCAGGAGGGGTGGAGCTAAAGCTAGAGTTGTGCCAAACAGGCCCTTAGTGTGCACGGGAAGCTTATGCGCATAGGATATGTTCCCAAGTTAAACTGGCATAAAAGAAGACATTTCTAGTAGTGATAAGTTCATTTAACCCCCTCAACTTTTCACTCTATATAAAATACACCCTTAGACTTTAAAATCAGGTATCGAGCACACGACCCCCACCAGCAATTTTGGCAACGGTTTGGGAACAGTGGGGCGCACTAGTAAAAAAAAACTAAAAGTAGTGAGGCCCACGTGAATGGACATCTCTTTTTTCTCTATCTCCGTATTTGTTGCAAAAATCCATAGTTGCTCGTGCGTTTCACCCAACAGACACTATCTTGTGCAAACGATAACCTCTAATTACTCTATTTAAACAATCTGGAGCTCAATTAGGCATGTCGTTTGATTCAAGAGTATCTGTATACAATTCTCGAGCAAGCAAATAGTCAGAACAAATATGAAAATGTTAGAAAATAGGAATGAATACATTTTTTCTATTATGTTAAAATACAAAAGCAAGAATAGAAAATTTCTAGAAAAGCATTGGTACAGAAGGGAGCGTAAAGAGGCAAACACAATTTACCACAAATGCCTCCTCGGAAAAAATACAATTAAGCGAATCTCTCGTTTCTGTGAGAACATCACTAAGAGCAAGTTTGTTTAATATTAGAGCTAACTAAGTAGTATTAAAGCTAACATATACTTTCTCCGTTTCACAATGTAAGTCATTCTAACATTTCCTACATTCATATTGAGTTTCACAATGTAAGTCATTTTAGCATTTTCCACATTCATATTGATATTAATGAATCTAGATAGCTATAAAGTTGTCTCTAATAAAGTTGTCTCTAATTTTCCTCTTTCTCTCACTTATGTAACTAATGCATTTAGCTTGTAGCATATCTCGAGACCTAACACTTCATTTTTCTTGTTCTCTCTTATTCACATATAAGCTTATAGTTAGACTTGCTCTAAATGAAGCAACAAGGCAACAGGTGCATAAAAGGTTGCATCACCCAAATTTGATGACAGATTAGAACATTCTATGCAGATGCACTTATCTGTACAATATCAGGCTTAGACGATATTGAAGGGGGGAGTTGCTATTCTGCTAGCACTCCTTTCACACTAACATGCGATCCTCCACTAAGTTTCAGCTTGATTTGATCACAAGTTCAATTTACATACACCTGTGACCACTAATGATTGTGACCAGAAAAACTGAAGATCACACTAGCTGCTTCCCAAATGACAGTAAAGTATAATATAATACAAGATTGTATAAATACATAAAGCAAATATAATTTAAATCGTTGCCCCTCCAGCACCCCTAAGAAACGCCTGATCAAACAAAAAACCAGAAAACAAAACAAAAGACATCTAAGAATTGAACATGGAGTTAACAGCGACATGTACTGTACAGGTTTTGGAGAAATGATAATTTACCAGCTTAGTTGCTTTAACAGCATGAATCTGCCTCTCCTTCTTCTCACGTTTACATTCACCACACCAGCCCGAAAAGTCCTTCTGATATTTCTTCATCTCCCTGAACACAGAGCTGTGCACAGGAACTATTAATTTTAGCTGCAAGTTAGCTTGCTAGTAGCCAGTAGCCACAAGAAAGATAATCTTTTCAGTAGCCAGTAGCCAGTAGCCAGTAACCAGTAACAAGTTCTCTTTGCGGATGTCAAGAGAAAGAATAACCTTTGGGATTGCATTTGAATGACATAAATATAAAGATAAATTTAGCAAAACCACATATATTTTGACATAACTACAGATTCAACACGAAGTATCACAGATCTACATATTTAGCACCAAACTTGTTACAAATTAAGATATGCAATAGAGCATCTTAAATCTGTAATCATGACCATTATCTCAAAATATTTGTAATTTTGCACTAATGCTTTGTTGTCTCAAACTTCTAGTTCCATTAATGTTTCGTTGATTTACTAACCTTAAGCTATCCGAGTGGTAAGCACTAGGCTCTTTCAGTATGATGGACAGACAGTGGAATCTCATACATCAGAAGAAAATGTATGTCTATCTTGTTTACAGAAAAATCAAATTTGAACTCAACCTTATGGAGTTCCATATATATGTTCAGTTTTTGGATTTGTCAATGGAAGCAAAATCTTTCTAAAATCCCTCCCTAAATTGCACAGAAAGTAGCATACGTACAGATACATAGCTAGGGAGATGATACATTGTTAAAGAGAAGTTTTTCATGGAACAACTTATGTTGACCTCTTAAACCTTTCCTATGTTTGCATCTTGTTTTGTTCCTGAAATTTTACTATTGCGCCTGGCTGCATCTTATTCAAACAACATAACATTGCTCCACCTTTCTCCATTCAAACTACCCCATATGTCTTATCTAATCTTAGTCCTAATAAAAAACATCCGTGTGCAATTTTATTCAAATCACTGCTAAAGAACAAGTACGGTTCTAATAAAACAAAAAGGAACAGAAATAAAATATTGATACTTCACCAAAGCATACCATAAGTTGGAATTTTGATCTAATGATACAATACAACAGCTCATATAGTCGTATGCTCGTATGTCTATTATGGTTTACCAAATTTCCATCACTTCATCATTAACCACAAAACAGATTTGCGTGCGAATCTGAACCTTTTTAGCATCATCATTATATGATAGTGCACAGGTGATACAATCTAAAGAAATCAACATTACACTATCTATTATAGAGTTACGTACACTACAAATCTAATAATTACCTCTACCATAAAAAAAATGTCATGTTGGACACCAACATGATCTTCATAATACAACTTCTACAACTAAGACATCTGTAAAGCCCAACAAAATATATACATATGGTTTGCCTGCATCCTTTTTAAATAATTAAAATGATATTGATGTTTAAAATTTTCAAAGTTTGAATTGAGAGATGTCCGAAACATGTTTTTGCAACCAGATGGAGTATTAAGTTAAAAGTTTCATGAGGAAGTTATGCTAGGTGAAGAACATTATCTTTAGTATTATTTGGTGAAAAATACTAAAATAAAATAAAATCATCAGTGGTTGTTATGTTCTGTCAGTAAAAGTAAGGGGCAACTGACCTTTCTGGATAAGTATCCTTTTTAATGTTTAAGAGCTAGTTGAGCACTCAATAGAAATAAGAGCTGCTAAAACAGATAATGCAGAAAGAGCTCCCCACTACCAAGTAAGCTCTTTCTACTTGTTCGCCTGGATGAAAACTCCCTAGTTTTGTTTGGCTACCTTTTTTATTGGCTAGTGTGGTTTTATATCTCAGGCTAGACTCGCTTGAGCTGTCTTATCAGTAATCAATCTACAAATTGATTTCCAGGAACTATTGTCAACATTTGACTATGAGGAATGTCTTCGTTGAGACTACAACCATGTTGGAAATAGCTAATCCCTTCAAAACAATAGGACTCCGTAACTTTTGCAAGCTGTAACAGCAAAATCTTAAATCAGTAAAGATTCCACTAACTACCTTGATTCCACAGCACTCATGAGAGGCCTTTGATCAGGTGTATTTTGTAGTTTCAGGTTTCTTACCCTTGACATGAACTACGCAATACCAACACAACTTTCCGTGAAACAAGCACCAATAAAACATGATAAGTTAAGGAAAAAAATGCATACATATATATGGTCATAATATTTCACTGAACTAAACCTCAAATGTCCGCATAAACGGTAGCTATAATACATGCCCAGTATGTGCTTTAAACAAGCAAGACAAAAGGTCACTGAAATCTTTGACAATCAAAATTGTATGGGAAGATCTGTAAGACTTGTATACCTTCTGCACCACAAAAGAAGATTGATTCTGAGCCCAGATGATGTCGGTCGGGCACCATGCCTATGACGACCACGATGGAGCACAGCTCGTCCAGGAACATGAGAGTAATCGAACATTTCCTGCAACATGAGTAATGAAATTGAAAAGGGTAAAAAAATATATATCTTCAATTATGTATTGTGTAACTTCCGTGAACAAATTAACCAGAATATGTTGCAAGTAAATGACAAGTTTCATGCAAAAAAAAAATCTGAACAAAATAAGTTTCAACACCACATAAATGCACTCACAGAAGAGAAGAAAAGAGGTGGGTTTGAAATTTAAAAATAGATATTAAATGCAACTAAAACATAAAAGTTCATCTACCTCATGCTGTGTCTCTGAATTCACATGATTCTCACAACGGATGCCACGAAAGTATAACTCACCACCAGAGAATTGCTTGCCAAGGCAAACATTCAATGTAACCTCAGAATCGTCAACGTGGAAACCTATAATGTTGAGAAACGGTTTAGAACAGAAAAGAAATGTTTGAACAAAAACTGAGAATGAAAAATGGCAAAAGTATCATTAGGAACTAAGGCAAATCGATATACTTAAAAAAAAGTGCAACTAAGAAAATTAATGAAATTATGGAACTCTGTTAATTACAAAAGAACATTTCTTTATGGAACTCTAATGCGGCTTAAGCATTACAAGGTTGCGCACCCATTCCTTGTGTGTGGCCTTGTAGGTATTGTTTTAGAACAGTGACAAATATACCATATCAAAATTTCACGCGAATAGAATGAAGTTTTCTGACATGCTTTTAATGTTTCATATTTAACTACCTGGATAAAAGAAGTAAATAAAAGCGTGAAACCATCTTAACATCCAGAAATTCTAGTAATGTGTGCGATGTGCGATGCAGGAACAACCTGGGAAGGTGGATTGGCTCTGAAAAGAATTTAAGACTAATAGGCAAGGACCTTAAAGTTTCTGGTAACATGATACTAGCCACTCCTTTCTGAAGCAAATTATGCCTCTGGCCTCATTTATAACAAGAAGTCGAGAACACCCCAAACAATTAACTGATGATCATTTCAGTGGCCTAACATGACTACAATGTCAATTAGTTGTAAAATAAACGGTACAACATGTAGGCACCAAAAAGCAGAATTACTAAATCTCATCTGCTGCCCAGATTTCAAGTTCTCAACTGCTGTTCGTAAGGTAGTTTAAAGCAAGGTTTGGAAAGATGTAAGTTATCCACTGAAATTTCGGGCACTAAGTTAGTTGAACTTAAGAACTTTCTTAGTCCCTTGAATCCTTACTGCCCCCCCCCCCTCCTCAAAAAAAAAAACTGAGAAAGAAAACGGTTTTATCATGCCATTCTATCAGCCCCGGTCTTTGTTCTACTTCATTAAGAGACAGCATAGCATTCATTTTTCATCATGATAGCTAATCTTTCCTGTCGATGAACACCCCTAGGTGATAGTAGTACAAATATATCTAAGCGCATAGTGCACAATAAGATACTCCCTCTGTCCAAAATATAGTAGACAGAGAGAGAAGAGAAATTCCAGACTCCAGACTAGATAGAGAAGATGTGACCTCTACCTTTGATAGCAGTTCCACAAGTTCCTGACAGTGAAAGTTGGTCATATTGATTTATCATCTAGTCATTGAAACTAGTTTCAACATATTGCCATTTTAAGTAGGAAAGGCCAAACCATTGGCTCAAAAACTGATATGTGATTGATTTCTCAACAGGGAGGAACAACAATACAAATAGTATCCATAGTTACATGGAATAGCTGAATGCAGACATGATCAATCAAGAACAATTCTTTTACTTCATATGATTTTACAGGCTATTAAGTATAAAACAATATTATAAATTTATAATGGTAACTTACCGAGTTCAACATCCCTGTCTTTCCCATACTCAACAACAAAAGCATGGTGTGTATCTAATGTTCCTCCACCAACCTCAGGATATAATACTGAAGATTAACACAGCATAAAATCAATATAGGAAATATATTTTGAAAATGCTAGTGATTCTGCCTCTATTTAACAAGGATAGCAGTCGATAAGATAACCTGTAGACATTGGAGCTATGAACTGTTCCATGAATTGGTTCAGCATAACTTCCAGGCCAAAATCATCAAGGACAGCACCATACTTGTTCATTGTATTTGGCCTCATTATCTTAAATTTCATTGTGTGGACCCATTTTTCGAAGTTCTCTACCTACAAGGTGTAAAACATTGTTTTATCATTGTAAGTTTGTAACAAAACATGATATAGCAATATCAAAATTGTATGTTATATGCTACCATACCTCCTGTAATAGCATCTCACAAAAATTAGGCTGTAACATAGCAAATGAATAAACACCAGGAACTGGCTCAGTCATAATGCTTCTAAAGCTTTCTTCTGTATTGGTCCTAATAGCTTCAAGGAATGTTGGTAAAAAGAACGATGAAGGGCGCATTTTGTATAGCTCTTTATGAAGTGGCTGTCAGGAAAATAAAAAAAATATAAGTTATTATTACTAGCACAAAAAACAAATAGATTTAGTTTCAATTTCTCAATAAGATTGATGACTTCCAGTCCATACACTACAACTGTAGTGTACACATGAATGAACTGTAACAAACACATGGTGCCATTTAGTTTCATTGATATTTCCACTTGCTTGAGCTCTAGCTGTTAGTGAAATCAAGGAACCCACATATTGTTGACTGAAACCCACGTCAGCTCACAATTCATTTAATTCTCCTGTCTGGGGATTCATTACCGCTCATGCCATAGAAATTTATTTTGCCATATCGACATAGAAAGAAGTATATTTTTTAATAAAAAAGAAGTATACTTCATTTAATAAAAGAAGTATATTTTTTTATATTTTGCCATGTAAACATAGAAATTTAATTCCAAATTCGTTTGACATAATAAGATAAATATTCCATAAGCAGCTTTCTAAGATCATGCACACAAGGCAACCAACACAGGAAATGCTGATTGGATAACCAAATCTCGGAAGGCTCTCCATAACTAAATTATTCATGGTACCTGTAGTGCTCTGTCACAGTCATGCATACTTGATTCAAACAGTTGTAAATATTGAATTACTAGCGCATACTGGATGCCTGGATTGTAATTCTTTTATCTATGATCTTCCAGTATCCTACCACCCTACACTCTTCACGGACCTCTTGTCCAACCAATTGTGCCCTTTTGTACCAGGAACCAGCTGCACTCTTCAAGAACAAAGATTTTGCTCATGCAATCACCTGGGAAATCACATATGGCTGGTCGTACAGGACCAATACAATTGTTCCATAAACATCTCATATCACACCCTGCTTAACGCTCAAAAGAAATAACAAATCATACAATATATGATATAATTCCTGAATTCCTGGACTGCATATTTCTATGTGCAAATATAGTTATGCACAAGAAAAAACATGCATATTCCCCCATTTCAAAATATTTAGAGATAATTCGAATAATGTCAGCTATGCTGAAACGCTAACCTTATAATGGTTGAGTATTCTCTGTCTGTATTCTCTGTGCCTTTGAACCTGCAATAAAAGAACACTTCATATGACAATCTCAACAGAACTAATCTTACAGCTGCAGAAAATGGGAAGGTTGAAACTCTGGAAATGCAAAAAATAATTCGAGGTGACCCTTCTTTGTTCACTCATACTACTTAAGGAAAAATTAAACCACTACATGTGTTTTCTTTTGACATGTTCCAGCTCAAACTCCCTCGTCGTTGCAAAACTAAGGTATAGCATCTCATGACGAATTAAATTTAATACATGAAATTAATATGCAATTACAAATATCTGAAGCAGCCACAAATATTTTGACCTGATCTCTGTGGTATGCAGTAACAGCTTCTTTGAACATCATAAACTTATACTAAAAAGTCCTACCACTAGGCATAACATCAAAGTTTATTGTAAACAATAAAATATATATTGATGTTAAGCATTGCTTAATTTTTGCATCCGTTTCCCGTGATACCAATCCATTCTAGTCTTGCAAATGCAAGTAATATCAGCAGAATTTAAATGGCTATCTTTTCTTTCTGCAACTTTGCTCCTATTACCTCAAAATTTGCATAAATTATATGCTTCATACCAAATACACTTTATATTTTAACAAATATGATTGCACTTGTGGTAAACAAACTTGAATGGAGGATACACATTAGTGCAATAACTAGCAAAATATGATAGACTCATAGGTGCGAACCAAGACAAACACAATCCAAGAAGGCAAATCTGGTTGCCTTGGTGTTAACAAGGATGACAACCAAGTGATGGTTTGTGTTGTGAGCTATCCTGGTATGGGTTCAGCCACGTTGACTCACCTTGTCAATTCTACGGATTAGCAATAATATTTATGGGGTGCAAAAGATCATGGAGGGATGGTGACACAGGGATACTGGTTCAGGCCCTTAGGGAGAGGTAATACCTTAGTCCACTTATGTGGATTAGATCTGTGTAGGGGTTCGCAATACGACATTAGGAGTAGCGTGTAGTGATCACCTGCTTTAGGGTTCCCGGTTCCCTTTATATAGACACAGGGAACTGGCTATTGAGAGGTATCCGGATCCCACCTTATCCGGGTACGTACCATCTATTTACACGGGATAAGATTCACATCCTTATCTTCAATCCCATTCTTCGATTACAAGTTAGCCGGAACAACACAAGAAGCTCCATAACATAGCATGCTTTCGTTTCTACAGCAATATCAAGGAACAACTAACCAATGAAGTACACCTCATCTACAGGGGCGGACCCATGGGATGCTACGTGGACACTGGCATACCCAACAAATTTGCAAAAAGGAAAAAGGATGTAGTAAACCAAAGCCCAAGAAGCCTAGGTGCAGTCACCCACCGGAAGACCATGCGTGTGCTTGCGTCAATGCGGGAGTGCACATGCAACAAAGCCTTTCAACATCTTGAGGGTTTCCGTTGGAGGCGCGTGTGAAGTGGAACTGCCAGTGAGTTAGAGTCTAGCAAAGCCAATAGCACTCCCTTGCAGAATGGCCCCTGAACAGCTGAGCCCCAACCCCCTGAGCATGGAGTACTGGCGACGATGCCTGACAGGGCTGCAACTCATGGCCTGCAAGCGTAGCATCCCTGGGTAGCACGCAACCAGCAACTGAAGGTGGCAACAGGCAACACCAGATGACCAGGTGGTCTTTCACCTTTTCACTTCCTCTGAATATATGATCATCTTTCTCGGGATGTAATCAAGCATTTATATGCCATGAAAAAAAGCCCGAAATGACTAAACGTTTGTTTGTGTTATGTAAGACTATTTGACCTATTTGTACTTCACTTTTCATGAATAAGGACCCTAATTGTATTTATGTGCATGAAGACTTTGATTTGGCTCCTGAAAACTCCAGGGTCCACTGCTCAGCTAGATGGAATCCTTGTCAAGTCAGCCAGATTTGCCCATGTGGTCATTTTGGCCTTGTTTTGCACCAAATCTTAAAAGTTTATATACTGCCAGTCGAATTTACTCTTTTTTTTTCTCAATCACCAAAACTAAAATCAAATTTCGAATTCCAAGACAACCAAGATATATCATGCAATTTGCCATGCTACAAGGAAAAAGAACTCTTAAGCTACAGATAAACAATATGATTTTTTAGAATCCTTTATAGAATGAAGTTCAATTAGTACAGTACTGCATAGATCCAAATTGCAGTTCAAGATAGATTAGTTCGGATCGATGGCGTCATAATATAAGTATTGAACAAGACTAATTTTAGGATGTCCTAGAAACAGCCAATCCATAATGTTGTATCAATCAAGCAGATCAAGCAAGAGATAGGCTTCCACCAAACATTTTTCATAAGCACAGGTTGATCAAGGAAAGTGCCATGGCATAACTAGCAGATAAAGGCAAACAGAAGGATATTATGACACCTTTAAGGTGGACCAAGTGACGATTAGGTAAGGAAAAGCCTAGTGATTAACCCATAGAGACAATTATTTAGAAAGGAAGTGATTATCACAATATTTTGTCTCTAACCCAAATTGTGTATGTATTTAGGGTGAGTTTGGTTCTCTACTCTACCAAACCATTGGTAATGCCAAACCTTTGGGCAAGCTTTGGCACTACCAAATTTTTGGTAGGGTAAAGTTGTATCAATTATATTGATTTGGCAAGATTTTTTTTTTCGGGGGAGGGGGGGATCCAATCCAAATAGCTAGCAAGAGTTTGAAGCTACCAAATAAAGGGTAGGGCAATATTTCGCATCAAACCAAACTTGCCCATGGTTAATTAGTCCCTTATGTTCATCTAATATAAGTTACAAAATTGCATGCATTCTTAAATAGGATCTTCCATCATCACATGCATCCAGTTATACCTAGAAAGGGTGTACTAGATTGGGGCATTGGCACATATTAACAGCAGGTATGCCAAATCCAGATCAAATTTTTCACAGCAATTGTCTGGTATTGTCTGGGCTGGCTACAGCTTGTCTTATGCAAAATGAACAGACAAATCTTTTGGTTATTGGATTTAGTCCAGCATTTGTGGCTGCACCTCGTACCCTTCTCCAGCCACAACACCTGCCTGCCAGAAGTTGCTGGCACAAGAACCACATTATTCCACCTAATGGGCATACAACTCAGCAGTTACTTTCTTCACCATCGCCCATTCTGAATCTCTAATTTCAGAGTCCGTAGTAAAAAAAAAAAAACAAAACAAAATTCTATCGACAAAAGGGCCACAGCAAACACTTAAAAAAACACGCAAGGCCCATATATATTTCTATCTAACAAGATCCACAACCTCACCTTGTTGCGCTCACCATGGGGCCAATAGTGCCCGAGGACCTCTCGCATGAGCTGCAGCTTGATTTCCCGGTTGGCATCAAGGACACTGGGTGGGAGGTGCCTCTCAAGTGCACTGTATACAGCTGGTGCGTACTCGCCGCGGACGTCGCTGTAGTCCTGCGGCTTGTGCTCCATGTTGGGGTTCAACCGCAGCCGCCGATCTGCGCACGCCGGCGCCCCGGAGGGCCGGCCGGCCGGCCGCAACGGCGGCGGGGCCACGCCGTTGCCATTACCCATCGCGGCCTGGGCCTCGTCCCGTCGCTCCGCGGGGCCGTCTAGAGCCATGGGGCACGCGCGGCGGATCACAGCATCGGGAGGACTAGGGTTTGGGTGGGCGAATTGGGTGTGGTGTGGGGTTCTAGGGTTTGGGGGCGAGGTACTTTTAGGTCCTCACGTACTCCCCGAGGGCAGGAAGAGGAAATGAGTCAAATGACACTGGATTGGGGACAGAATTGCGGTGAGCCGCCACTGACGCTGTGGAGGGGGAAGGACGGACAGCCAGCTAGGGTTTACATAATTTTGTGACGGCTATGCTATTATCTGACTACTTGTGCCCAGTTTAGTTGGAGAAAAGAAAATTTTTAGATATCTTATCGGATATTTAATTGGATATCGGAAGAGGGTTTTGGACATGAATGAAAAAACTAATTTCATAACTCACCTGGAAACCGCGAGACAATCTTTTGAGCCTAATTAAGCTTCATTAGCACATATGGGTTACTGTAGCACTTATGGTTAATCAGGGACTAATTAGGCTCAAAAGATTTGTCTCGCGATTTTCATGCAAACTATGTAATTAGTTTTTGTTTTATCTATATTTAATGCTCTATGCATGTGTCTAAAGATTTGATGTGACATTTTTAAGAAAATAAAATTGGGAACTAAACCAATCCTTATCCAAACACGGAAAAGATTGAAAGTAACTCTAATCAATTATATCTCTAACAGTGTAAAACATGGATTATCATTGTTTCTATGGATATTAAAATAATATTTTATCTACAAGATTATGTAGAGGGTGTAGAGCAGGGCTCGAAATCCATAATTTGTTAGTAATTAAAGGGAAAAATCCAAATCCTCTATAATCTTTGAAATAACCATAGCTTCTTGCACCCGGAAGTTCATTGTTTATGATCTTGGACTCTATAAAAAGCTTACCTAGAGGGGTACCCAACCCAGTTAAAACCAATGTCTAAAACCACTCAAAGGATTGGTTAAGTTTGGGTTTTCTCTCAATGTAGCACTTGGATATGAAACTTTGAGCACTGAGACATAAACAAACACATCGACATTGCATCCCACTTAATAATACGCCAATCCTATACTCAAACGCAAATAGAAAGAAAACTATACCAACAGGAATACCTTCATGATTTCTTTCTTTCTTTGTCTTGAGGGATGTTAACACCAAAACCATTTCACCTTGTATTCTTTAAAAGATTGATGATGTTTACCTGTAGCTTTAAATGGCCTCGCACAATACATCACGACAAAGCCTTCACTTGTCCTTTACCTCCAGATTCGGTCCTTGGTGCCAAGCCATTGCTTGCCCTTCACCACCACATGGCCTATGACGACCAATCATTTCTTGCCCTTCAATATCTTTCCATGGATAGCTACTTCATACCCCACCTCTTCAATATCTTCACAGTAATTCTCATCAATTGATCTTTGCTTGCATATTTCAACTTTTTTCATCCTTTGACCAAGCAAACTATTCATCTTGATCATTAGGTGTCATGATGTGACTTGAGCATTAGCACCTTTTCCATTTCTAAGGACCTATATCTTTTATTTAACTCAATGAAATTGTTAGTTACAATGATCCTGTTAATGATCTCTAATACTTGACCAACCAACCGCATATAAAGAATATGAATAAAATGATGAGTATTAATGTTGACCGTCATTAAGTACCGATTTCGATCGTCAATTATCTCGACAAAGAAAGAGAACTAACATTTCTTGCATTGTCACTTGGTTCAACTACTTTTACTCATACATCCCCTGACCATGGCTAGTCTGACCGCAGGCCCCATGCTGGTCAGACCGGGCCAGGCTCGGTTTGACCGGGCCTCCTTTGAGTCGGTTGGATGCCCCTAGCTTGGCGATCTAGAGCTGCCAGAGCCGAGGCCAATCTGACCGGCCGACCTATGGTGGTCAAACCGTGCTAGTTGTGCCTATGCAATAAATGAACCGTAACGGCTTCTAGCCGTTACACCAATTGGCGGTCTGACCGACCACCCTATGGTGGTCTGACCGGCAGGCAACAGGGGTTGGGGATTTCGACCCCAATGGCCAGTTTTTGTGGATGTGGGTATAAATACTCCCCCATCAGTAGCAAGGGGACTCTCATGGCACTTGCTTAATTTGCATACACTCTCTTGAGCTTGTGTTCATCCATTTGGTGTGTTTGAGAGTTGATTGAGCCAAGACAAGTGCATTGCTTCATTGTAGAGCTAGCGTGGCACTTGATCATCTTCAAGCTAGGTTGTTACTTGTTACTCTTAGAGGTTGCCCTCTCATAGACGACTTGTGGAGGTATTGCCTGGTGACCTCTCCAAGGAGATTGTACAGAAGGCCTAGTGCCGGTTTGTGCGTGATTTGGAGTTCACCACCTTCGGAGTGAAGGAAGAACTACCCTAGTGATTGAGGCTTGATAGTCCACTTCTCGTGGGCCGGCTCCAACCTTGCCCACCCCTTGGCGAAGGGGGCTTGTGGTGGCTTCGTGGTTTTGAGCGGTGAAGTTGGGTTTGCCTCAACGGGGATTAGAAACCAGCGAGTTTCCGAACCTCAAGTAAAATTTCCTTTGTCTCTTGTCTCATTCACTTATTGCATTTACTTTTGTGCAATTTACATTCATAGAGACATACTTGAGCCCTTATCACCCCAGGATTGCAAAACATAACCTAGTTGCTTTGTTAGACTTATCCTTCACCAAGCCTAGCAACTTAGGTTAGTTTTAATTAGGTGCTATTTATTTTTAATATCGCATATTCACCCCCCCTCTAGTTGACATCTCAATCATACACTAGTGGAAGTGGTTAGTAGTAAACTCCTACCACTAAGTCTCGATAGTATATTTGATCTCTTTTATGCATAAGTTGACGGTTAAAGTTTGCACTTAACGACCGTCAACAACACCCCCACACTTATCCTTTACTCGTCCCTGAGTAAAGCTCATGAATATATTATAGTAATGACTTTCTGCTTAATGATATAACATACTAAATATTCCAAGACAAACTTTTGTCTGTGAACCTTGATGCGTCTATCATGTCATCTTGAGTGATTGAAGAATGGAATGGTCCTCGAATCAAGTCACATTTACTCCTTCTGGTGAATTACCTTTGGGTTTTCTTTGATGCTCGTTACAATATAACTTTTACTATACTTCTCAATTAATTTCTCTCAAATCACTCATCAAGGCATTGATGTTGCATTTTCTCATCCTATATTTCTAATAAGGCTTATGTGGAGATCAGGATAGGGAATAAGAAAAGACATACTTACATCAGATATATTGTAAAGTCAAATAGAGGATGTAAGAAGATAACTAATCATAAAACCATGACCAAGCTTGGTCACCTATATTTATGGGTGGAAATGGGAGAGTGGAAAAAATGAAAATGGGATGGTGACTCATTTTTTTTATGATCCTCCTGCTTGCACTTTTATTCCAGAGAACATCACTATACTTTTTTTTTCATCATGCTTGAGAAAATTTGCTTCATTCTCTTTTGAGCAGAGTTTTTTTTAGCTCATGTCTCATTTGGCATGGATCATTAGAGGAGAGACCATACAATGTTTTTAGTCTTTATTTGGTGGATGCCGACTTCTGGTGTAGAAGTTTAGCATATGAAAGTGAATGGAATGTGTTGCTAATCCTACAGTGCGGAGAAAAAGCAAAATTTTTGGTGGCTAAGTGCACAAGACTTTGGTCATGAGAATATGAAAATAATCTAACAAGGGTCACAACCATTTAGCAAAACTCAAAATGATAGCAAGCAGCATATGTATAAGGTTTCGTCATTAAGATTGACATATGGCTTTGGTAGGAAAGGAACAACATTGAGGAGTATGCAAAGTTATTTTATTTTCCTTTATAAATTCCAAGGGTTCAACATCAAGTGCAAGTTTCATATCATTAGGCCATCTCTCATTAATCAATAACTTAGATAACACGTGGTCCCATGAGTATGTAAGTCATAGAAGGTGTGTGCAGGGAATAGAAGGTATGCAAGTCATTTTTACAAGCAATTCGGAGACTCTAGTTGATCATGTCAATACTCATTTTAATTGTTGAGTTAATTTTAGATAAGGCAAAATTAATCCAACTCAAGGAATTAAGGATATGAAGGATAAACGTGCAAACCAACGCTCATATGTGAGTGTGAAGACGTGCAGCCTTGTGCAATGGTTGCTTCGTCTCATCTTGTGAATGTGCAAGCGTCACGGTGTAGCACAGACATGGGTAATCTTGTATGTGAATGCGTCATGTGAGCACAAGATCACCCCACACTTGTTTTCGTACCTAGGGTGCTTCAAAAGACAAAAAGACAAAAGAAAAATGTAAAAGCAAAATGGAACTCACTCAGTGAAACCCGATGAGTCTTTTATTTTGGCATTTCATCCAGGAGGCAAAGGCGGCCTTGCAGCAAGCTCCAGTTGCCCAAATCCAGAAGATCGGAAGGCATAGTAATTTTGTAACGCATGGTCTTGCTCTACTCAGCCTATGCCTGAAACAAAGTGTTGTTTGGCTCTCAGGCTCCCAAGTGTGTTTCTGAACGCCTGTCCTGAGATTGTAATCCAGTCGTCGTTTAATTAATATATTTCTTTCCCCCGAGAAAAACATAAGGAGTAAGAAAATGTTTATGAAATACTTACTGTTTGGTACAGCTACTGAGAGACACTTATGGAATGCTTTAGAAAAGTGAAATCACATATATTGGAAGAAGAAAGATAATTTTGTATAAAGGTACTCTGGAGATATGTAAGGCTAAATTTGTGAATAATGTTTGTCTTGAGACCCCCAACATGTACATGTGTATGGCGAGCACAATATCTCCAACACAGAGAAACTGCTAGAGCAGTACACCATATACATATATACCCATCTGTAATAGACATAATCAATAAGCTTGATTTTTTTTCCTTTAAAACTTCAAGACGTTTGATATACTATATGACTTTTTCTTCCATGTAGTTCTACCTCTCACAATCTCCTCATACTTGTCATTTGCCTTTAGTTGCAGAAGATGAGTGTACTTCGTTGGCCACTGCTGGAGCGCACCAGCTAAGCTATGGTGGCCATTGATGATCTCTTGCGAAAGTGAAGGTCCCATCACAATGCTAACATTTTCTCCCGGCATAATCGTGTCTTCATCAGGTTGGCAAATTGATTGCACAACATCTGAGCTCCCACATTCCTTCCTGTATTCCAGAATGATGCTACTAAGCTGGTGCTGCTGCAGGAATTGGTCAGGCAGAGTCTGCACGCCATAAAAAGACATTTAGAATATGTCGATCTTTATGTTATGCCTAATAAAACAAGTGGGAATCGATAGAAATTGGGAATGGATCAATGGCATGTACTACACCGTTCTTTTTCACCAATGGCATGTTTGAAACCATCTAAATTTTGCTTTTATAAATTTATATCATCTCTATTAAACTAGCTCACTTTACTCCCTAAAGATCTTTCTATTTTTTTACTATTTGTCTCTTTATAGAAGTGATATTTCAAGTAAAGTTTTGAAGTATGATGATAGGAGTATTCCTTTTGCCGCAACCTATTCTTGAAAAAAAATATTTATCACTATTTGCATAGATTTGAAGCACCTACGTCTAATTTAAATAACAAGATTGAAACGGCATCCAAACTATAATAAAAAATATATTATGTTGTCATACATGGTTCTACAAATTTTGAACTTAAACCGTGTTTTATAAAAGGAGAAACAAGTAAAGATAAATATTTTTTTAAAGAGAATGAAGATCAACCGGACCAAATGGGAGAGAAACCAACGTACTACCTCCATTCGTTTCTTACTTACACCATAAAATATGTACCGTACCTTGTAATATTATTTTACCGATGGCATGTTTGAAACCAACTAAATTTTGCTTTTATAAAATTTTATCATTTCTAAACTACTCCATCTGTTTCATATTATAAGACACTTTGATTTTTTTGTCTTATTCAAACTTCTCTAACTTTCTAACTTTGATCAAGTTTATAAAAAACATAGCAGCTTTTTCAATACCAAATAAACATACCATCAAAATATATTCAATATTAGGTTTAATGAAACTAATTTAGTGTTACAAGAGTTGCTATATTTCTCTATAAACTTGGTTAAACTTATAGAAGTTTGACTTAAAAAAGTTAAAGAGTTTTATAATATAAAACATAGAGAGTAGCTCATTTTACTCCCTAACATATTTCTACTACCTCCATTCCAAAATAACAACAATTCTAGAGGTCAAATACAACTTAAGAGAAATATAAAATGATCTATGACCCTTATTAAATGATAGGTGAATGAAAGTGAAAGGACGGATGAGGGTAAGCTGGAAAAATATTTAAATAAGAGTTAGTTGATGTGATTACTAGTACATAGGAATGCATTTATTTTGGGATAAATTTAAATCATGTAATTGCACTTATTTTGGGATGGGGCTGAGGAGTTTTTTTTTTACTATTTTATCTCTTTATACCAGTAATATTTTAAGTAAAGTTTTGTGGGATGATCATAGGATTATTCCTTTTGCCTCAACATTTTTCTTGAAATGTTTTTATGACTGTTTGCATCTAATTTGAAACACATACGACTAATTTAAATAATAAGTTTGACACGTCATCCAAACTATAATAAAATTTTCAACATTCTTTTAAAAAGGTAATGTTATGGTATCATACATGGTTTTACAAATTTGAAACATGTTTTTATAAAAGGAGAAACAAATAAAGAAATATTTTGAAGGAGAAAACTGAGCGAACTTTAAGATTCGATAGTATAGAATAGCTAAGCTGGTTAGTGGCACGGAAACCAAAGCAGTGATTAATTTAGTATTAACTTTAATAAAGTTAAAAAAATGGATTTATTTGACTTATGTATAAAGTTCTTATAAGCACTGTTAAAAGAGATCAAGAAGCTTAGGAAACATGCTCACAATAAATGAGGAAGTAGCCTAGCAAATACTCACTCTAACACATTTTAAGCGCAACTGTGAGTTTCCATGTCCAATGTTTGACCGTCCGTTATATTTGAAAAAAATTATGAACTTTTTTTAAAAGTAAGTCTACTATTCATGTCCTATGAAAAGTTTAAATAAAACGGCCGGTCAAACATATATGCATATGTACATAGGAACAGATAACCCATGCAGCATTTTCTAGATAACTTAACCACCTTGTAAACACTGTGACAGTTCTTAAAAAAATGTACACTCTGTGACACTGACACGTTATTATACAACTAAGTTATCTCAACAAACTTAACCGCTATAAAATGATGAATATTACCTCAAGCATCCACCTTACATATTTGACGTTGTTGACATGATGGTTCATATCCAAATCGCTGCGCTTCGGCTACAAATATAATGTGCATATATAAGAATAAGATATTGTGATCCTATCCTGCGTTAAATTAATTGCTTCATATGAGATTGTGACAAACTGAAGAAAATTGCAGAGCCTCTGGAGCCTAGGAATATAGAAAGGCAAATCAATTAAATTAATAAAGAAATATTTTTTATCGAGAAAATTAATAAAGGAACTTAGTTTGTGCAGTAGAACCAATATAATTAACCTTCAAGTCGGAATCGACATATGTGGCATTGGTGTCGAGCTTGATGATCTTGTCGGTGGCCACCTCGTCAATCGCGTGCCTGTCGATGAACCACGGCGAGATTTCGTCCCTGACCTCCTTCGGCATCTTCGACAGCCTCCTGGTGACCTTATTCATCATCACCCATGTACTGCACAAACGACGCTAGGGATAAGAAAAGCAGTTGACTAACTGAGTTACTACTAGTAAAGTATAACAAAACAAAATGAGTTAATTAATACCCAGGGCATGGTTTCCCTTACTGCGGGGTTACCGCTTACCACCGAGGTGCGAAAACCGCCTGTATATCAACCAAGTTCAAAGAAAATACCAATAAATATTTAAATTTTCGGTAAATTTTGCTCGGTAACCCTGTTAATGCTGTTAATGCCCTATGTTCGATGCTTCGTGGTTGTTGCTATACAGGCGGGGAAAATTACTGAAAATTACTTTGCATGAGCTTACCGAAAATATGTTTTTAGGCAAAGTAATTTAACCCTGTTAATGCCCTATGTTTCTAGAAATTGAAAAATAAATAAATAGCAAAATCAAATGTTAAAATGGAGAAGAACAGGTGGTATGACGTTGGAGAGACCATGAGTGCAAGAATTCACTTCACAGGTTCAAACCCTGGTACTTGAGTACTCCCTCCCAAAAAAAAGACAACCCTGGTTTCCGTGTCCAACGTTTGACAATCCATCTTATTTAAAAAAAATTATGAAAAAAATTAAAAAGACAAATCATGCATAAAGTATTAATCATGTTTTATCATCTAACAACAATGAAAACACTAATTATAAAAAAATTTCATATAAGACGGACGGTCAAACGTTGGACACGGAAACCCAGGGTTTGTCTTTTTTTGGAACGGAGGGAGTACATTTTTAATAAGAATCATTGGGTTTAGGTATTTGATGTGGTCTCCATCTTTTTTACCAGAACGGATATATGATTGCGGTGTGTGTGCGCATAATGCTCTACGAGCGCATATCTACCATGTAATTGAATAACCATATGTCAAATTATAAGTAGTTGAAAGTAAAACAAAATTCAAAGCAAAAGTTGAGATAAAAAGTTTATATTTTAATCCTACAAATTATAATTCTAAGAGCTTGTATGTAAATACAAAGCATATTATTTTAGTAAAGTCACGTGTAATAATATCCTTCTTAAGCTGATGGTTTTTACCACCAGCTAACTTTACTACATGGCAGCTATAACTTATCAAATAAATCTTCAATCCCTAGGTTAAATAATAAAGTAAACTCAGTATAAAATGATTACACTCTCAAGCCATGCATCTAGCGAAAGCGTGGCTCACCTAAAATCAAGGGCATCTAAAAAAATCAGGAAAGGGTTTTTTATAATGGAATAAATCCTATCTTTTACGTCCAGTAAGCTATAGCCAATTATTATAAAATCCACTCAATAAAGAGCAAAAAAAATTCCAGGAAACAGTGCACAAACTAATGATCACCAATAGAAAAATCAGAAAAGGGTAAAAACACAAAACACTTTGGACTTTAATACTTGTTGGTTTTTACTTTGAAGTGCTGAGCTTTGATCAACACTAATTTAAACAATCAAATTTTGTAGCATCCAAGTTGTATTATTACATTTTTAATATATTTAAATGTATCTGTTATGATGTTATGTAAAAAATAACGCTAAAAGTTTATCTACTCACGATCAACCGGTCAAATCAACAAGTATTCGTAAGTCAATCTAATTGAATGGTATAAAAATCAATGAAAAAGTTGAGGAATATTTTAAGTCGAAACAATGTTATTGGCTAACTGAAAAAATGAAAACACATTAAAATATTCACATTACCCTAAACAGACTACTATTAGAAATGGCGCGCCAACTGGCACCCATATTTTCTAGTATAACTAATTATTAAGACTGGCGGATGATCTCTAGAAGACATACCTGGTTGCTCGGACGAAGATGGCGCCGGAGCTGCGGCCGCGGACGAGCCAGTCGCGCCGCATGCCGTTCTTCCCCGACGAGCCTACCCACGTGTCGATCTCCAGCACCTCTCCCCTGCAACCAACCTCTGTCTGATGAGCATAAATTTTCTTGCCCCGGCCTCTCTGAACGAACAGGACGCCATGGACGAACACAAATACTAATATAATATACCAGATGGGGTAGTGGTCGACTTGGACGTGCATCCTGGAGACGACCCAGATGAGGTTGTTCGTGATCATGGCGTGCGTGGCGCCGAAGCCGTCGCCGAGGAGGCCCGACATCCACACGTGGTTGAGCGCCGTCTCCTGGAGGAGGTTGAGCACCGTCTCGAGCGTCGCCGTCCTGTCCGGCCCGACCTCGTACGACCGCACCACCACCGTCTGCCGGTACCGCACGCCCCCCTCCACGATCACCGCCTGCCGGAACGGGTCCACCGTCTGCTTCTCACTCGGGATGTTCTGCCGCTGGCTCCTCCTGCCCTCGGCCTCCTCCTCCGTCGGCGGCTGTGACAGCACCGGCGGCCTCATCAGCCCGGCCAGCGACCTGTTGATTTTCGTCTCCAGCGCAGCCCCGACCTGGAGCGGCACGCGGTGAGCCGCGCCGTTCACCCTCACCCGGCCGCCGCCGCTACCATCTTTCTCGTAGGCCGAGCACCTCACGAGCAATTTCGAGTAGTACAATAATGTAGTGTTCGCCATGCAGATGCAGTGATATATCGTTCAAAACTTTTGCTTGCTTTCGGCGATTAACGGAGAAGAATTAGTAGCAGTTTAGATTAATTATATGCTCAATGGCGCGCCGTACGTTCTTATAGGACTAACACGATTGCGCGCACGAGCACGAGGGCGGATCCGCCAACAGAGCCTCGTTTGTCACTCGTTCCAACGGACAAGGAACAAAGAAAGCAAACATCCTTGGACTCAATCGCTTGCCATCGCTACAAACAATGCAAACGAAAATAGCCTAACTTGGACCTTACGGAGAGCGAAATTGGAAGCCAAAATCTGGACAAGAGAGGTGGGCTCCTCTTAGTAATAAATAATAATAGTAATAATGTTACATTCTGATGCCGCAGTCATGCATCGACTTTGTGCCTTGTTCTTGTCATGACGAGCACTGACAGCATAGATTCTTTGGAATTGGAAGACACTTTTATTGGAGTAAACAAAGCAGACAATTCATTACTTCTACCAATCGAACATTCTCTATATGCTGGTACAGGCAAGATGAATATCCATTTGTGACTATAGTCGTCGGTAAACGGTAACATTAATAACAAAACAGAAACTACATGACATGCTGCATATGGAGCTTAAGCATTCTTATGCCTTCCACTATTCAAACTAGGTAGTTTTGGGCCAAAAAATAAAGGTAACTGCGCTGAGTTGTTTATACGGAACTAGTTATCGTGCACGTGCAAGACACGTTTTCGCAATATATATACATATGAAAATAGAACAATAAATAAGGTATTTTCTATGCACTGCACTCCATACAAATTATACAGATAAAAATAGAGTTTCATAGACCATGGTAGGATGACAATTTGTATAGGTCTATAAAAAAAACAGCACAGTGTATTTCTAGAGTGCCAATATAAGATGCAGTGCACTGCTGGAGAAGCAAACCTTGTGTTTCTTGCTCCAAGACTTTGGATCTAATTCCAGATAATTCATTTAGCATAGGAAAAATTCCAGAGAAATTATATTTGAATTGACATCTTTAATAATAGCACAGTGGCTACCGTCATACAATCTGATCTTTTTATACATAATTTAAAATACTTTTATATGATTCCTGAAATGTGAACACCAAAATAGATTATAAGGCAGTGCTTTGTTGTACTTGAAGCCTAAACTACAACAAATTGATCTCTCCCTTCACTTGCAGCCATATCTCTATACATTTGTGCACGCCTGAGTGCAATGAAAATGGATTTAGTGGTGATGGTGATTTTTCTTCTATTAAGACAACTATTGGTCTCCCCAATCATCAAAGCCCAAGTTGTCATGATGTTACAGAGTTATAGAATGCGAGTGATGAATTGAATTAATAACGATCAGACAGTTGCTAAGATTCCAGTGCATGTCACTGGGTAGGCCAAGGGGATTTGGTGTGTATCACCTGTTCATGCAAATGGATTTGGTGTAGAGCTTCCAACGATATTGTCCACTGCAATAGGCCAAGGGGCACAGATCAATGGCCATCACAGGTTATCTCGGGCTCTATCAGGTGTTCATATCAAGGGCACAACTCATGTGCATGATCAAATTATCATGTAGACTACGAAAATAAATGCCTCACCAGCTATAGAATCTATCAAAATGCTTGTTTACCTGCAAGAAAGTTTACTAAATTATTTAAAAGTTTGAAGTGAATCTTACTTCCATATTCTACTACATAGAAACAAATTGCAAGGAAGAAATTCATATTACAATCTTCTCATTTTGGTTTCTGCCTCCATTAACAGAAATTCAAAAGCTCTATATGAATGCCCTATAGGACAACAGGACACTACACATAAATATGTCATCAGTTTCTCATATTCTTATTTGTAGAACTGCATTATAGAGACTCAGAGAGGAATACAATAGCCCATGGTTAGCATAAATCTCATGGAGGTAGACCTCAAAGAGATCAAAATAGCAGAACTTTAGTGACTCATATGAGCAAGTAACTTCAAGATTTCATTAATCAAGTACTGTACAAATCTTTAAATTGAATGGTATTGCTAATTGACACGGATAATGTATGTGCTGGTGACAACTCAATTAGATTTTGGCGATGTTTCCCATATTTTCAGCTATTGACAGAATAAAGTAGATATGTGAATATCTGAAAATATGCAATTCTGTTACATATATTTGGTTATTGTACATATGTTTTCAGCAATTAAGATGTGACATTTTGGTACTGATACATATATTTTCAGCAAATATTTTCCAGGAAAGCTGATCACCGAAATTAGTTGTAACAATAAATGAATGTCAGTCAATTCTGAATATGTGAAAGCAAATGGCTTGGAAGATGCCAAGGGCTAAAACCTGAATGGTTTAGTCAGAACCTGTCTAGGATACAGCCCTAGCAACATCCAGAGATTGAAAAGCTAATAATAGTTTGTTGTAGTACTAATGCGTACATTTCATTTGATCGAGTTAGTGTGAACACCTACCAGAGTGCGAACTGGAATCAACAAATACCGTTTCCATTGTCTTGGGAAGAGTTCACATTACACAAATATGATGCCCCTCGAGACCACTAAGAATTTCGATACTACAATATGGTGAATACAACGGCAACCAGAGATTACTATAGTGATAACATTTTGACTAAATGGTACACTCGAATTAGTATAGATAAAAAGAACATTCATTTTGGTTTATACAATTCTAATTATTAAAAAAGCCACGGAAAGGTGCTCATAGGCCACACAAGGATCATAGAAATAGTGTCAATCCAGTGTCAAAAGGAACACATGAAATTTAGTATAAATCATTAACTGTATCAGAAAATAAAAACGATCAGAATTCTTGGTCTTTCATGGTAGTATTACAAGTACCAATGAGTAAGTAGCAGTAAATTGAATCATTTTATCAAGCAGTAGGGGAGCATGGGCAGAAATCAATGTACCTGCTGTTGTCTTCCTCGACGCTGCCCCATGCTCCGCCGCCGTCTTCCTTCTTCCAATACTCCTCATTCTAATTCCATGTAAATGCAATGCTAAAATATAGAGAAAATCCCCTGTGTGCCCATGAAAACTCACCTAATCCCTTCTATACCCCCGAATTTTATCCAAAACTCACCTAATCCCTTCTATACCCCCGAATTTTATCCAATCCCCTGTGTACCCCTGAAATTTCGCTGTGATCCCTTCCATGCCCCTCCCGTTAGGTTTCCTTCATTTTCACGTTATGTGTGGTTCCAAATGTCTAAAATCCCCTTGTAGATGTAGGAGTGGCAGCTAGATTGAAAAAATTGAAAAAATGTTAACTGAACAATATGTGTATTTTATGAGACTAAATAATGAGCGTATAACAAATTTATTGTGGCACTGAAAAAAATGCAATATAATGAACTTTTTGTTTGGAAAAATAATAGATCAGGAAAAGCTGACTGTCTGTACAGTCATCAGTTTTCTCTATAGAAGAAATTGGTTCCTCTGTACAAGAAATTGATTATGGTAAAATAAGAGCATCAATAGCATCATATATAATAATAGAGATATTCATACAGAACACACAATATCATGCACAGAACATAATCTTTCCATCATCCATACATAACAGTTCATATCATGCGCACCCACAATTTCATTTCCATACCCAATAGTGCAGGAACCAAACCAACTTTCCATTTCAAACAAAATGGTGCAACCAACAAACCAAATTAGCTACGCAATATATCATGAGCATAATGGCATAAGGTCCATAACAGTGCATCATTACATCATGAGGAAGCAATCCTTACAATAGCAAAATATGTCAACTATGACTAGACCACTTTGCAGGGCATCACAACAACAAAATCCATCAGCCTCCACAAGAGAAATGGACAGTACCAAAATAAAACCTAATTAGCAAGCCATATGATTCAGTCCATAAGTTTTCTTTTGCTCCTAGTGCCCATTGCAGGACTCTTATTTTTGCTCCTTGTGCTCATAGCTGGGCTACCAGGAGTACTAGAACATGATGACTTTCCCTTTGTCTTGCTCTTGGTCATTTTTGGTGCAACTGTAGGTGTTTCCTCCCCCAGACATGGCAAGGCTACAATCATGTTAGATGGCTCAGGTTGGTTGGAGCCAGTAAGTGATCTTGATCTGAAAAAGAGAATTGTGAATATATTGCATAGAACAACATAATACCAGCAAATTGACATAATTGATCTAATTACTTACCTAATTGATATACTTGAACCTGAGCTATTGTTCAATGTCCTATTGTCCTCGGTGAAATTAAAGTTTTGACTGTGAAAAATAAATTGTTATGTAACTAATTGATCTAAATCCAATGTAGAATGAAATAAAGAAGATAGGCTAACCTAGGAGGGTATGCCATTATTGGTGTAACTATTGGAGCAGCCATGATACTAGTCTCTGAGGTTGCTTCATTAGTTTTCTTCGTTCTCTTCTTTGGTGGCCCTCTATGAACAAGAGAAAATATATGTCATAAGGCTTGTTAGAAATAGAATGGAAATTTGTGAGACAAATATACACAAGTGTTTAGGTTATTAAATCGAACCACCGCATTACTTTCTAATCTTATCCATTAATTATAATGTTTAGTACTACAAGGATGGAATGTCATGAAATATATTTATCAACTTACACAGCTGCCTAAATTGCAACCACCAACTAAAATGAATAAAAGACTTGCAATGATATGTACCTTTCAGCAAGCATTGCTGCTACTTCCTCTGGATCACCCTCTTTGCAATTGTGCCAATGATGGCCATAACTCTTGCAAATTGGGCATTTGTGCCTCCTACTCCTTTTGCTTCCTTTCTCAGTCCATCCTTTGTACCTCATAGTTCTTGGTCTCCCAGCTGATTTCTTCAGAATGGGTGGTGCCAAGAAAAACCCATGATCAGCTTTTGGCCATTGTGCCTTGTCAGGTAATGAAGGGATCAATTTCTCATATGCTGCCCTGAATCGATGCACACTAAAGCAATCATCCACATAATCTGCAAGCCTTCCTCTAATTGATGTGATGAATGCTATAGCATGGATACAAGGCTTCCCTGAGATCTGGAATTCCCTACATGTACATGTTTTGTGCTCCAAATTCACAACATGTCTAAACCCACTACCTCCCTTGACCTCAATTTCTGCCTCAAAGTCTCCATTCCTTGTGACCACCATGTCTAAATCTCTACTTTTTTCATTCAATTCCTTGACAATATGAGGTAGAATGCAGCCTTCGAATTTCTTTCCTATTCTTTGCCTCTTATCCCATTTCACCAACAACCACCGCCGAATCCTCTCCAAGAAGTCATATAAATGTAGTGCTTTCCAATCTTTCACCAAGTTGTTGAAGCTTTCTGCAAGGTTATTTGTCACATAATCAACCTTGCAAATTGTACAGAACTGACTCCTACTCCATAGCCTTTTGTGATACTTCTTAAGGTATGCTACTGCTTCTGGTTTAACTTCTTGTATGGCTGCCATATGTTTCTCATAGAAGTATGGGCTCCATGCATATGACAATATACTTAAAGAATGCATGCTGATTTAAATTAAAAACATACCATCATAGTGACACCATCAGCAACCACGGATGCATGAATCCTCCATTTGCAGCCTTTAGCAGCACAACTTGCAGTAAATTGCCCTGGTTCACTTCGGATGATGTTATATTCAAACTCCTTTTTTATTGCATGTTGTGCTATTGCCAATCTAAATTCATTAATGTTTGGATATACGCTGCCTACGATCATTGGTGGGTCATTTTTGTCATAAGTTGCAATAGGAATATGTTCAGGCATCCCATCTGATGCCATTGACTCATCCTCGGATTCATTGACACCATCATCCTCAGATGCATCCTCAGATTCATCCTCAGATGTAGCCCAAGATTCATCCTCGGATACTTCATTGACAGCCCCTTCATCTCTAGTTTCATCAGCATGACCAACAACAGCCTCCTCCTCATCTAAGTATATGCCTTCCTCATCAACACCAACATGCTCAGCCATAGGAAATGAGTTTACTAAGTATGTGTCTGATGGCACAATGACATGAGAAGGAAGAGTGCTGCTGCTAGGTTGGCTGAAATCCACTTGAGATGGGGTTGCCAAAGAAGGAGTATCGGGAACACATGCGCTTGCTTTAACAAGAGTGTGGTCTAACTCATCAATACTTTCATTAATACCATGTATGCGAATAATCATTGGAATCACCTTGATATCAACAAACTTTTCAAACATTGTAAGCATATCCTGGTCAGTTGTGACATGATGAGTAATTTTATGAACCATATCCACGTAGCCAATTGTGACAGTTTCATTTGGCCCCCATGGATATGACTTCGCAATATCATCAATAAAGTCTTTGTAGCACATCGCATTTGAGTCTATCACTTTACTGAAAATAAACCAATCATATTCCACCCTAGCATTTTTTCGATCCCTGGCTAGTTTGATTTCCAACAAATATGTAGTTAAGGGGTCCATCCTGTGGATGAACACAATAGTATGTATCTATCAATGTATGTATCTATCAACCAAAATGATCCCCACGCATACAACTACGTCAAAATTATGAACGACGGAAAGTTAAGTCACTTACCCTACGGGGAGCCATGAAGGAACCGTGCTAAGCATTGAATCTGCCATGCCAAGTTGATGTGGTGCAGAGAAGGGATGGTGGCCTCCACTGCTCCGCTTTCACTTCCTTACTTTTTGATCACCTTTGCTAGTCAAAACATAAGTAATAATGAAACCAAAGTGTGGGCATAATGATTAAATACAACCAAAGTGTGGGCATAATGATTAAGCTTTGTTGAGTCAATCAAGCATATGGAAAATTTTGTAAAGTCTCCACTAGACAAATACTAGTACACTGGACAAATATTAGTAGAGTTCTCATACTAATAAGGCAGAAAGAATGATGTAATGCATTTATGTGCATGGTGAGATCTTGGAACTTATAGATCAGTTTTTTCTAATCAAACCCCTTATCCTTCCAAGGGCATTTCCAATGGCAAGAAAGTAGACCTAGGTTATATGCAAAAACAAGAAGAAATCGGTGTTAACCTATATTGGGGATGGGAGAATGGGAGCTGGGAGGGCGGCTGACTTTGGCGCACGCGACGGGAGGGAGGTGGCCGGCGACGCCCGCGCGGCTGGAGGGGCGGTGGCCGGCGGCCCGCGCGGCGGGAGGGCGGCGGCCGGTGACACCCGCGGGGCGGAAGCGGCCGTGGCCGACTGCCCGCGCGGAGGGAGGGGCCGTGGCCGGCAGCCCAGGCGGTAGGGCGACGCCTGCGCGGTGGGAGGGCGGTGGCCGGCAGCCCGCGCGGCGGGAGGGCGGTGGCTGGCGACGCACGCGGGGCGGGAGGGGCTGTGGCCAGCGACGCCCGCGCAGCGGGAGGGGCCGTGGCTGGCTGCCCGTGCGGCGGGAGGGCGGTGGCCGGCGCCCCGCGCGGCGTGACGGCGGCTGGACGACGGCGCGTGGCCGGAGGGCGGCGGGAGGATGCGTCGACGGCGCACACGGTCGGAGGACGCCGGGACGACGGCTCGCGTGGCGGGAGGGCGGCGGGACGACGGCTCAGCGGCCGGAGGGTGGTGGGACGGCGGTGCAGGACTGCAGGCCGGCGGCGCACAGAGGCCGCTCGCGTGGAGAGATGCGAGAGAAGGAAAGGGGATCGAAACTAGTTAGGGTTGGCAGGGGCATTTTGGTATTTCCTAAAAATACTGACAATACAACACATGGTTTGATTAACATCTCTAACGGAAACCTGACGGGAGGGGCATGGGAGGGATCACAACGAAATTTCAGGGGTACACAGGGGATTGGGTAAATTACGGGGTATAGAAGGGATTAGGTGTGTTTTCATGGGCACACAAGGGATTTTCTCTAAAATATATATAAACCTGACTCCATGTATGCAAACAAAAATTAGCACCTGCAATTTAGTTATCATGACACATCAGCTGCTATACGTCCGACTAGCGCGTTCGACTGGCGTACGACTCAACGGCGAATTACACGGCGTGAGGCAGTACTGACTTGGTCAGATGGGCTGCTGCTCCAACTGTCCCACGTAACATAATCCACATCAAAGCCCATATATTATTTCAAGCCTGAACTTATAAGGACACAACATGTCCTTTTAGCCGCACAACGATATTTTGTCTCATGTCTATGATTTTTTAGATAAAAATTTGGAGTAGGCATAAATAAATCAGCAGCTTTCACATACTTTTTTTTTCGGGGAAGCAGCTTTCACATACCTTGTGTGATGTGATCAGTGAATACTATTGGCTAGATAAAACAACGTGGCCGTGTGGCCAAATTACATCTTATTGAACTCAAGAAATTGATTAGAGATGGAACACAAAGGAATTAGATCGTGGGGTTTAGGATAGAAGGAGATGGAAAGTCACGTTGAGGCAATATTATCGGCTAGATGAAACGATGAGCGGAAGTGCGGCCAGATTATTGAATTGGGCTTTTGTAAGGCCCAACTGAATTAGTGATCTATGCGGATGTGTAGACACGGACGGCGGACGTCTTAGTCGTACAAGGGTCGGATGCTTTGGTTGTATGTATAGCATTTTTGGTTAACAATATAGTGAAATGGACTAAAATATAGTTAGTTTCAAACTGTTAATGCTACAAAGCCATGGGAGAACTAAAACGTGATGAAAGGTCATCAGAACAGCCAATTAGGGGCGGTTTAGATGGGGTAAAATTGTTTAGTCCCTATCGCATCGGTTGTTTGGACACTAATTTGGAGTATTAAATATAGACTAATAATTAATAAAAAAACTAATTTCATAAATAAGAGCTAATCCGCGAGACGAATTTTTTAAGCCTAATTAATCCATAATTATCAAAAGTTTACTGTAGCATCACATTGTCAAATCATGACGTAATTAGGCTCAAAAGATTCGTCTCACGAATTAGTCTAAGGTTATGGAATGGGTTTTTGTAATTAGTCTATGTTTAATACTCTAAATTAGTGTCCAAACATCCTATGTGACAGGGACTTAGAATAAGTCGTTGTTTCCCAAACAGCCTGTAATAAAGCTAAATCTACATTTTGGTGCATGGCAGGGAGGAGGGAGCTCGGCTCTACGTACGGCTCAGCTCAAACGACCTCGGCTCTACGACACATGCGCGCGCGAGGAGGGAGCTGTGGCAGGGTATGGCGAGCGGTAGAGAAGGTGTCGGCCGACGTGACCCAAGCTCTCCGGTGGGCGCACGCGAGGAGGCTGTGCCCCGGCCGACAGCGACCCCGGCTCTCTAATGGGCGCACACGAGGAAGCGAGGAGGAGCGAGGAGGTGGTGGGGATTCGCAGGGCGGATTCATTGCGGCGGAGTCATCGCTTGGGGCGGAATCGGCAGAATCACTGATGAATGCGTACTGCGAGAAGGACAGTGGACGGATGAGATTAGATGAGACGGTAGATGGACGGATGAGATAAGAGGGGATGATTTCACCTGTAGGATTTCTAGGCACAACTCCTCCTTTTTTATATTAGTATAGATTGTGCTGATCTTGTTTATTTTTTCTTCCGGCATGGACTCGTATATCCCTAGTGGAGAACTGATCTACTCCCGTGCTACCCAAAATCATAATTGTCCCAGTTAGATTAAGAACTGGTACTAAAGATGCTCCAAGTCCCTCGAAATATTTTTAGTCTAGGTTGGTGTTATCAACCGGGACTAAAAAAAATAATCTTTAGTCCCGGTTGGTAACACTAACACGGACTAAAGATGGAGGATCTTTAGTCCTAGTTGGTAACTGATCAGGACATCACTCCTTCGAATATACACAACAATCCTCTACCGGTCATTCAAGGAGCAATCACAAGAGCTCGCTCCTATGTCCTTCTTTATATAATTTTGAGAATAGATTGCTATCTAATGATTATGATTATATTACAATTAGGAACAATGGAGAGGACAAAGAGATATTTAGAGAGGGACTTAGAGGCGTGGAGGACCAGCAAGGGCGTCCAAGTCAAGATGGAGGTCCAAATCTAGTTGACTTCGAGTACGTTTCAAAGTCCATGACCAATCTGTACTAAAACGGGCGCCCAGGTCACATACGTGCTCGGATTGGGGTGTTCTTTATATGGATGGAAAGCTAAGAAGATAACATTTCCAATGGTTCCAATCCCATATCCAAATTCTTTCCGAGTCATCGGGAATCGACCGAACAAGTTGACTTCCAAATTTTGTTCCGGTGCTGTGTCACCGTATTTTGGCCTTTGGGCCGTGTATCGTGTTGGAGCCCATTAGGGTTGCGTATGTTAGATTAATGGGCTAGACCCAATTAAATCCTAATAAATTCCATTGGTCCACATTAAGTGCTATGGGTAATAATACCACCTTGGAAATCTAAGTGAAGAGGTCTCAACTTAAATATGGAGCTAGTGGAGAGTCTCTGTTGACCGGTTGAGATGGTGGGCGAACAGCAACACGCGCGCGCCGGGCCGTGGCGTGGGCGTGGGTGAGACAAGGCTGCTTTCTCTCTCGTTTTGTGTCACGTCCCAAAACGACTCTAAAATACATCCTCTAAATTATGCCTAGAATAATTAAAATCCGTGTGAAAGCCTCCAACAATTAAAAGGTGCAAAGTTAAAAGTCAAATAAGGCTTGGGGGATTTTTGTATATTTCCTAAAATGCGTAAATAAATTTTAGTGGAATTTTCAGAGCACAAATAATAATTATTAAGAAATAAACAAAGTTAAAATGATTTTGTAAAAGGAAAAACTCTAAAAAGTCCCATTTCCCTCCCTCTCCCTCTTGGGCCGGCTCGGCCCATCTCCCTCCCCCTCTCTCCTCTTCCCCGCGGCCCATCCGGCCTCTCCCCGCGCGCGCCGCTAACGGGCGGGCCCGCCCGCCACCCTCGCTGACGGGTGGGGCCCACCCGTCATCCCCTTCCTCCCGCCGCTCCCGCCGCCTCCCCCGCGCCCTAGCGCTGCCGCCGCCGCGGATTCCGCCGCATCCCGCCGTCCCCGCGTGCAATAAAGTGGGAAGAATCACTTCCCGTGATCCCCTCTCCCTTTCCCCCCAAATTTCCCTCCCTCTCTCCCTTGGATTCGTTTGGAAACCCTCCCCTAATCCCGCCGGCGCCATTGATGGAGCCCGAGAACGCCGCGCCGGTTTCCTTCCCCTCCGGCCGCCCTCTCCCCCTTCCAACCCTATTTAAACCCTCCCCGCACCTCCTCCGTCCGTTTCCGCCTCTCGCCACCCTTTCTCCTCGCCGGATTCGAGCTTGCGACGTCGCTCTCTCTCTCCGCCGTCGCCGCCAAGCTCCGGTCCGCCGCCGTCGTCGCCCCGGACCGCCTCCCACCTCGGTGACACCTCCTTCGGGTTCGCCGCATCCTCGCCAACCTCGTCCACCTCCCCGTTTCGGTCGCCGACCGCCGGAACGCCGTCGACCCCGTCGACCCGAGCCGCGCTGCCGCCTCCCTCCGCTCCGGCCGCCTCCTCCGTCGCCGCCGTCGCCCCGGGGTGAGCCGTGGACCGTCGCCTCCTTTCCCCCTTCCCTCCCCTCTCTCGGCCGCCGCTCCGCCGCGCCGGTGGTCGCCGGCGGCGACCATCGGGGCGTGGGCGCGCCGCCTCCCGCCGACTGCGCCGGCATGGCCGCCCTCCGGGCGC